TGATTATTTTTTTTAAATATAGTATATTTTTATAATAAATCTTTATAAATTTTATTTTAGCATTGTTATATTATTTAATTTTTTAAATATTTTATTTTTTATTATGTTTTTAATCCCTACAAACATAACATGTTTTATGATAAATTTTTATAAAATTTTTTGTTAAGATTTAATTCGACAACTTTTTTTTGTTAAGTGTTCAATTAGATCTTAACTCATAACAACTCATCATTGTCACGTGTTGCCATATCATTTAGTTTTTTTTATTACTCAAAATTAATATTTGCAAGTAAGTTCATGTCATATTTTAAACATTTATAAAAAATTCATATGAAACTCTAATCTCTTTCCTTTTTGACACTTTCCTCTCCTTCTCCCTTTATTTTTATTGATTTTGGATGCTTCACTAGTAAGATCTGTGCATCTACTTTAAAATTCTTAACAAGATATAGGTTCTTTAGCTTGTCTCTAAGATGCTCATTGAACTTTCTGAGTCTTAAGAACAGAAAGAGAAAGAGAAGAAGACGCTGGAAGGGAAGATGATTAAGTTTTAGAGACTTTTTTTATAATATTTAAAATATGTTCAACGACTTATTTATAAATATTAATTTTAAAGAATAAAATATTAAATAATATGATAACATGTGATAGTGATAAGTTGACTCTTTATCAGTTAATTTAACACTTAATAGAAAAAGAGTTAAAAGAGTCGATTTAATAATTAACAAACGAAGAGTTGACGATGTGAATTAAATTCTAACAGTAAACTTTATAAAGACTTGTCATAAAATATGTTATATTTATAGGAATTAAAAATATAATTAAATCTAAAATATTTAAAAAGTTAAATGACATGGTAATGTTAAGCTAGTTCTTCATCAATCAAACACTTAACATAAGTTGATGATATTAACTAAATCTTAACATTTCAGTGATTAAATTCTAACAAAAATTTAATAAAAATTTATTATAGAATATGTTATATTCATAATAACCAAACTATATTTAAGCCTTAAAATTTTTTTAATCATATTTTTATAAAAAATAATATTATATAAAATGTCAAGGTCACAAATGAGAATGATCAACCACGTATGAAAATATAAATAAAGAGATTAATTACTTTTTTAAACTATGTACTATAACCTTATAACCTTAAGTAACGAATTAAAATCAGAAAAAGTAATGAACTACATTATACTAATGATATCTTAAGGCATTAATTATAAAAATAAAAAATAGCTAATAAAAATAAAATTATTTGCTACGTTAATAGTACAATTTTTTAATATTAAATATTATTTATTAACACTTTTGAAATACTACTTAACGAATAATATATACATATCTTTTGAATCTTCTAAAAAAAGAAAAGAAAAAGCTAACAATACCTTTATAATTCATAAACTGTGGTTGACAATACTTGTTAACATTGACATGAAGTGAGTAAAGGAGGGGTTTAGATAGTTAAATTTGAACATAAAAGCAATTAAAAAATTAATTTATTTTAAAAATTATTAAAATAAATTAAAAATAACTTATATGAGTCATTTTAAAATGTCCTTCAATGAAAAACGTAAAAAGCATCATAGTCAATATGCTAAATTTAATTGGAATAAAGGATTAATTTAAAAATTATTTATACTATTATGTTATCTACTCATAGATTGAATTGCAATTAAAAAAATATAAATTTTTATGATAATTCCTTTAATTAAAAGTCATGTAAAGGAAATTTTTTTAATAGATTGATACTAACAAAATTAAACTCTAATATCTTATTGACATTTTTCATCCTTCAAATATATATTGAAAAAGTAAATAAATTCAAATTTTAAAAATATTTGAAAAAATTCTATGCAATATTTAGAAATATATTATTAAAAATAAAATTATTCTATTTTTAAAAAATAATGAATGTTATGTAGTCTTTAAAAGATATATTAAACATTAATAATTGTCTTTAAAAATCACTTGTTAATGAAACAAAAAAATATTTACTATATTTAAAATATAAATATTATTGAACAACTATTTTAAACAATTCAAAATATTTAATAAAATATATTAAATAGTTCTTAATCAATATTTTTAAAACATTTTATTTGTTAACAGGGTAGAAAACAAGGGAGAATATATTTGCAGCAGACCTCGGTCGCAATAGTGTAAAAAATATTAGATTCATTTCAATTATGAAGATGCTCGATAAAATTAAATATATAAATACCAATCAAGACCTGAAAGCACTGAATAATAAAATAAAGAGAGAGAGAAAATATTAAATATTCTTATTATATAAAAAGCATAAAAATAATAGTTGATTTTAAATAATTAAAAATAAAATAGTAATTAATCATCATATAACAGCGCCTTTATCTAATCGTTATATTTATCAGATGAAAAGTATTAAATTTCTACTTTAAGATGTTAACTTTATTTATTTATTTTATAAAATGTTTTGAAAGGATGACACTATTTTTAAACAAAAGAAAACTGATTAAAACTCGCAATAAAGATACAATTACTGTAATATATTATTTTTATTCATAAAAAATGTTGCTTATATGATATTTATCAACATTTTTTAATCAATTAAATATATTAATAACATGAAAAGCTTGATTTATCATGAGAATTGGTGGTGTCTTAAGCATGCTACGGCAGGGATCAATGAGACTGGTGAATTTGAGTATAAATGAGTTGGAGAATTAACGTTTGCCATTAAACGAAAGCATTCAAGATCTTACATGTGGAATATAAGAAAAACAAAATGACAAAAACGCTATATGTTCGGTGGGAGGATCATGTGCTACGTAAATATAAATTAATATGATAGCCTACGATGTCATGTGCTCTCTATTTCTTTTATTCTTATCTCTATTCTTATTATTAAGATGATGGTCATGTGCTTTTGATTTCCATTAGAGTAATCATCCCAAATCATGCAACACATGCACTACTACAGTAGTCTACAAGTACAAGAAATTCTTGTGTGAATTTCACATCTAAGTATTTGCTAACGTTATTAATTATAAGTAGTTAATATAATAAGACTAAATAATGTAATTAATTAGTAACGTCATATAAAAAAAATTATGCAATTAATGATATATCAATAATTTACTAACTTCTACCCCTACCCCACCAACCCCACCCCAACAGACAAAATTAAATATACAAATGTAGTTTAGTGTTCTCTCACCCGTTTCATTTGACCATTGAGCAAAGCTGATAGGCTTGACCAGTTCGTCTTGTTCATTCATAATAATGATGTTGGGTTGGGAATGCGTTATGACAGAAACAAACTGTGGCCCTTTAATGGGGTTAACACTTTGGGCGACATGGCTTAATGCAAGGGGTTATTTACTATGTTCACCAACAAGAACTTGAATGAGATGGGTTTTACATATAAAGGCCATAATAATGAACTTTTTGGAAAGCTCTATCACACGTATACGTTTTCTTATCCTGAAAATGGATTTATTTGTTTTCAACCATATTAATTCTTATTTGTTTTGTGTTAGGAAATTATTTTAAAACAAATAAACTTTTAACAATTCTTATAAATAATTACTAAGAAGATACATAAATTGATATTCATGGAACTTACCCCACATTTAATTACATAGAAATCCATTTATGCTGCTTTGAAGCCTAATTCCAAAATTTATTTTGAGTTAGAATAGCGTGAAGAAATAATGATCAAAAAGGCATTTTTTACTCTCCTAAAAAGGAGAACAAACAATGTTTTATTATAGTAATGGTAGGAACACTAGCTAAGCAAGTGTATACCTTTGCCCTCAAGTTATGTCATTGGCAAATGAAAGGCAAGAGAGATATAGATCTAATCTATGTGCATCCTAATATCCTATAAAGGTATGGGGAGCCTCTATCTGTTGTTTATTGTACTCATTATTTTATTTTAGAAAGACCGAGAGATCTCTATCTAACATGAAATGGGCTAAAGGGAGAGAATGAGAAGAGTAATGAAATGAGAATAAGACAGAGATGAGATGAGGTAGAATTTTTAGAGTGACGACTGTGTCACGTGGCTATGCATCTTTGTTCATGCAACCCACCATTGCTTTGGCCTTTTAACTTAAAGAAGAGTGAGATAAGTCTCTCTTTGAAACCGCTAGCGGACTTTGCAAGGCAAACTAATATTGCCACTAATAATAATAAAAAATCACTTATTTCTCTCTCCTCACACTATTGTTCCTATCCAATTGTATTTTAATGTATATCAAGAGTAAAACAATTACCAACTCAGTCAAATTTCTTTAGTTGTTCTTATCTAGTATTAATTAATATCTATTTATCGATAGTGTATTTAGTTTAATTTATTAAAAAAATATTAATTTCTAATGTCTTAGAGAAATTAGACAATGATTATGATTATAGTTTAAAATGGAAAGTTGACATAAGAAAAATAAAAATCCTAAGTTTTAAAAGATTATTATTTAATTCTTAATTATATTAAGAATTAAATAATAATCTTTTAATGCTTTCAGTTTACTTCGAGGCAATAATTACTCATTTTTTAATTTTTAAATAAATTTAAAAAATAACTATTTCTCTCTCTCTCTCTCTAGATATATATATTTTAAAACATGCACTTATGACTTAAAGTAACTCCTGTAATAAAAAATTCAGATATAATAAATTGAAAAAGAACAAAGGTTGTCGAACCCGTCGATGAGTTGCACTTGCATAAAAAGACATTCACATCCTTCTCAGTCCAGCTACAATTGCATGGTTTGCCGTGTAGGTTTCCACAAATGCCCCTTCCCAGAACAGACTAGAGTAGACCGTGACTCAAAACAAAGCTAGCATACCATACTATAATAATAATAATAAATAATATCAATAATATACTAAATTCTTTTGTCATGAAATTTGGTGTATAGTACTAAAATTAAAAAAATACACATTTTTCTATTAGTATGTCCGAGATATATATATATATATATAAACCATGTCGAGTCAGAATCTTCCCTCCCCACACACATACACCAGTTTCTTTCTTTTTCTCTATCTCCAATTATTTTATCTTTGCCAAGACATCAACTCCCAAAAAAACAAAACCATTCCGGTTTCTAGTTTCAGCTTAGCTTTAAGGTGTCAAAGCATATCTTCCATTTCTATTTCTATTTCTGCTTCTACTTCTACTTCTACTTCACCCTCTTTGCTTTCTCTGCTCTCTCTCAACCCCTGAGATGTGCCTTCCTTTTCCAAACTGTGTACTATTGTTGTTGTCTTTGTCTCAAGAAGAGATGCCCCATCATTTCCCTTGCTTGTTGATGCCTAATATTATTGTCTAGTTCTTGGGGTGTGATTTTGTTTTATTTTTTTAAAAGTTTTTCTTTTATTTTTTGTTGATGGATCTTGGGGTGGTGGGTTTGGATGGGTTGGTGGGTTCAGACACTTGTGGGTTTGGTTCTCTTGCTTCAGATCCTGAGACAAAGCACAACAAGTGGTACGGATCTGGGTTGCTCAAGCAAGAGAGATCTAGCACTACTGAAGATGAGTGGAGGAGTTCAAAGTTGCTCAAAACTGATGAAATATCTCCCTCCAAAGCAATGTTGTTTCACCAGAGGAACTCTTTACTGAGATCTAATGCCACTCTCTTTTCGGATGGACATCACCAACAACATATGCTTAGCTTCTCTTCTCCAAAACCAGACTCTTTTTTGGGAGACAAGGCCCCCCCAAATGCCACATTACCTTATTCTTACCATCCGTTGTCTAGTTACAGCAGAAATACAGGTATATATATTATATATTAATATCATATGGTAATAGCATTTTCAAGTTTTTATTTTTATTTATTTTATCGTTGTAGCTTGGGGGAATGATTATTAATTGAGCAATACTTTTTAATAGGATTTGGATTTTGTTTTGTTTATGGGGGCTTGGAATATGGTATCCGTTGTGGGGGGCTAAATATAATGGGTTGTTACGGTCTGATTCTACAGTACTGGTGGAGGGTCTTTTCATGGAAATAAACATGAGTGGTTTTGTTTGTAAGTCATGTCAAGAGAAAGTAAAAACAAAAAATTCCTCCTAAAATTTTCCTCTTCTTCCCGTTTTAGGAACAGGGATTTCGGTGAATTTTTGCACAATAATTTAAAAGGGTACCAAAGGAGAAAAATGTGTATGAAGAGCCAGCTTAGCTTAGAGCTACAATATAATATATAGGAGCAAGGAAAAAAAGGTTCCAAATTTTGATTGGTTCAGTTCTCTCTTTCTCTAAAATCTCTCTTTCACTTTCCATATCTTCCTCACACGAAAAAAAGTTGACTTGACCATTGTTTCTTGAAATCAAATACTCTAGTAAACGTTCCACACCATTGATTGAACATTCACCCATGTTTTCTGCCACCCCTCTTTTAGCTGTTTCCTTAAAAGCTCTGAAGCAACTTTTATTTTTTATTTTTTGTTTTAAAATTATCAATTTTGTTATGAAACGGCTTTAAACCTGTGTGTTCCATGTTTTCATTTATCAACAGTTTAATATTTTTTTGACCTTATCTTTGTGGGGCATATATGTATATAGGTTACGGTTCTGGAAGCATGCATGGGGCTTTCAGTGGTGCTAAAGGGCCATTCACTCCATCTCAGTGGATGGAGCTTGAACACCAGGCCTTGATCTACAAGTACATCACAGCAAACGTGCCTGTACCTTCTCATCTTCTCATTCCCATTAGAAAAGCACTTGATTCTGCTGCCTTCTGCAACTTCTCAAACGGGCTTCTCAGACCCAATGCATGTATGTAACTGTTCCTCTTGCCCCCAAAAAAGACCCTGGGGTCCCTAATTATACTAGTATTGTGTTTTCTTTAACTTTGACCTTTCAACAGTTACAAATCACTATATTAGAGGTTGTTTCCATTTTAAAACAGTTTAATATTTTATTTTTAAAAACAAAAAACTGTTTTTAAAATGGAAAACAATAATACTCAAATTTCTATTTCTTTTTGGTTTCTACCGTTAGTATATATTATTTTATTTTAGTTTTAAAATTATATATATTTAATCAATGTAAAGACAAAATATGTGTTTAGTATATTTAATTTTAAAAAATAATCACATTTTTTAATTTTTTTAATTTCATTATTAATGTCAGTGTTTAAAATTAATTTCAAACATTAAAATAATAAGATTTTAGTTAAAAAAAATATCATAAAGGTATAATATATCTTTCTTTAATTTTTTATTTAGTTAATTAAAATTAATATTAGTATTTATCTTAAAAAAAAAGAAATTATTTCTTGTGAAATAAACGATTTCTAGCGTGCATTAAATGGAATATATATTTTTAAAATTCGAGAGACTGAATTGACTTGTGTTGTTAATTTATTGATAAACATAATAAAATAAGATCCAGATTTAGTTTTTTAAAATACTTTTTGTTATTTATTAATAAAAAAATTCACTTGAGTAATATCAAGCTAAAATTTTAACTGTGACGAGGAATTCACTTGAATTTAGTTTTTCTAATGTATGAATGGACATTGTGTGTTTGTGTTGGTGTATTGTGTTGTGATGTGATGTGCAGTGGCATGGGGAGGTTTTCATCTGGGATACTCGAACAACACTGATCCTGAGCCAGGAAGGTGTAGGAGAACAGATGGTAAGAAATGGCGATGCTCAAGAGATGCTGTTGTGGATCAAAAGTATTGTGAACGACACATCAATAGAGGACGCCATCGTTCAAGAAAGCCTGTGGAAGGCCAATCAGGCCATGCCCTTACCAACCCCACCACCACCACCACTTCTACTCCTAATACTTCTTCTAAGCTCAATGCTTCCTCCTCCGTTGTGGTGCCTCACCAAGAACCCAGTAATAATATGCATCTTCCACCTCATTCCTCTCCCCCCAACTCCATCAATAGGTCAGCAAACTATTTCTAAATTTGACTTAGGATGTGTCCATTACTGTTCCTACTTGTCATTCTCACTTTTATTTAAATGGTTTTTTTATTTATAATATATAAATAAACTAAACTTGCTTAGTAAGAATAGTTTTTTAAATGGTTTTTTATTTAAATGGTTTTTTATTTAAATGGTTTTTTTAGGATGGTTTTTTATTTCTCTCTATATAAATATAATAATAGTAAAAGTATTTTTGATAGACAATTCCGTAAACTAAACTTGCTTTTTAAGTCTTATAATGAATTTTTCAGCGCTTCATAAGTATCTATCATTATTTTTTCCTATTTTGTAGTTTTTTGAGATAAAATAAATTAAGCGTATTAACTGTTAAAAGAAAAAGTATTACAAAAGTATTGAAAATTTGTTTATAGTCTTGATATTGTAAGAATAAGTTACTGTAATTGTTAATTTTGTATAATTTTTAATTTAGTCCCAAATTTTGTAAGGTTGGCATTATTTTAGTACTTGAGCTATTAATTTTGCATAAATTTTTATAAAGTTAAGGGGTAAAGGGAAGGCTTTTGTTTTTAAGAAATTGGAACTCGGGGAACTAAAATAGGAGTTTCCATGTCATGATTGGTTTAGATAGCGTTGCAGATCTGTGTTTTATCTTTTCGCTTGGTTAGGACTTTAGGAGTTTGGACAGAACAGAATCAAAGAATCTAGTATTTCATCCTTTTGGGCAGACAGTGACTGCTCAATGTTGTAATAGTGATTGAGATTCGTGTTGGGGTGAAAAAAAGATGGTTCAAATTTTGCAACTTTATCTATGTGGAAAGAGTGCTTTTGGTTCTGTATAAACGGTGTGTTTTTTTTCTTCTTTTCCTTGCATGCAGGATGTTTATGAGTAACAAAGAGAACAATAACACAAGTGAGAGGGTGCAGGATGGTCCTGCACTTCCAATGCTACCTCCAACTCTTGAGCTGAAACCGAAGGAGAACCCTTTCATGATTCATAAACAGAAACTCCCGTATGATGAATCCTCAAAGAACAACAATGAGTTTGGGCTTGTCACTTCTGATTCCTTGCTTAACCCTTCACAGAAAAATAGCACCACCACATTGCTCAGTAACAGAAGCTTTGGTTCTTCACAAAAGGATTCTGAGTCCCAACATTCCCTTAGGCATTTCATTGATGAATCGGACATGCAATCAGATAGGACTCAGCTATCAATTTCCATACCAATATCTTCCTCAGACTTCATGTCATTCACTACTTCCTCACCCTCCAATGAAAAACTCACTTTGTCACCACTAAGGCTGTCAAGGGAATTAGACCCTATTCAAATGGGTTTAGGAGTTGGAAGTGGTCTCAATGAATCAACCACTAGGCAAGCTAATTGGATTCCAATCACTTGGGAGAGTTCTTCTATGGGTGGTCCTCTTGGAGAGGTTTTGAATCTTAGTAGTAGCAATAACAGCAATGCAAGTGATCATTGTGGGAAAAACACTTCCGCTCTCAACCTCATGACTGACGGGTGGGACAGTAGTCCTCCACTAGGTTCATCTCCAACTGGGGTGTTGCAAAAGACCGCTTTTGGATCACTTTCTAATAGCAGCGCTGGAAGCAGTCCAAGGGCTGAGAACAACAAAGAAGGTGCTACCTTGTGCAATGACCTCTTACCGGCCTTGTAAATCTTCATAGAAGAAAAACAAGCCCTTAAACTATGAAGCAATGGAAAGATCGAAGAAAAGAACTTTGTTCTTACGACTTTAATCATTAGTTTATATTATATAGTATTATATTATATGGTAATATCAGAATTTCGAAAAATGTGTTTTATTAATTACCCTTTGCCTTCATTATTTGGATGTGTAGGTAGGTTTTTGGTTTGCTTTGACTTTGATTTGTCTTGCATTCATTTTCATGTCTCTTGAGCCAGCGTTTTGGCAAGTTTGTATTGAACAGTGAGTAAATGATGTTAGTTGGAGTGTGTGGACTTTGTTTTTTTTTTTTTTCCTAAGGTTTTGGGGTCATTTGGAAGACCCTGATTTTGCATGAGGATAGTAAATATTAGTAATTCGTGGATATCACGGCACGCACGTAGAAAAAGTTAATGCAATAGCAACTCAAGTTTTGTCGTCCTTTTAAATGGAATAGAGATTTCTGATTCCTTGTTTTGAAGTTTGAACTAGCCTTTGTTCTTGTTACCCAAATTTTTGTTTAGGAATGAATTGCCATTTGTGGACCACGAGCTCTATGTGATGTCCTTTTCACTTTATGGTCATTTCAATCTTTTGGTTTCACGGGGTTGTACTGCTCTGGTTTAAAATTTTATTATTGTTTATTTTAAACTTTACTTCTATTTTCCTCTTTTGTATTTTTTTAAATGTTACCTGGGTTATTTGAAATATCATCCATGCCTTTTGGTTATAGACAATGGTGTTTCGTGAATTGTCATCACTTTGTAAAATTTATAAACAATTTTTGAAATATCATCCCCATGTAGAATTTATAACCGATGCCTTCTGGTGTTTTTTTAAATATCATCACTTTGTAGAACTTAAACAATTTGTTTATACAGCTTTTGATGTTGCAAATTTAAGAGTGCATTTGAGTTTAAAAGAATGGTTAAGTACTTTGTTTAATAAACCCTTATTACATAGGAGTTTATTTATAAATTTAAATAATTTTTTATGTTAAAAAATTTATTTTGATATATTTTTTTGTAAAATTTATTAAAATAAATTAAATGGATTTATAAAAATGACCAAAACTTAAACTAAGTTTTTCCAAATGCTCGTTAAATGGATTATAAAATAAATACTGCCCCTCTCACAGTATGTCTAGAGAATTTAACTATCTACGACATTTTTTATTATATGCTTTTTAAAAATATTAACAGAGGGCATGACTCACTCTTTCACCCCATAAATATACTCCAATTATCAAGAATATATTTATTGCCTTTTCTTTTCATTTCAGTTTTGTCCTTCTCCTTTTACACTTTTACATCAATGTTCATTAACTATTGTCTTCATAACTTTAAGATTAATTTAATTTTTTTAAGGAGTGAATTGTTAATAATATGGTTTCAAGTGACGATTAATATAATCTCATAATTAACTTTTTTTCTAGACTTTATAATAATAATAATAATAATAATACTGTGGCCGTGGTTATGATTATTATTATTATTATTATCTTCTATTTTAGTAATGCTCTAAAGTGATAATTATTTTAACATGAAGGAAACATTTTTTAGTATATTGTTTTAACATACTCTTTATTTTTATTAATAATTTTTTAAAAATTTAAAAAATACAATAAAATTTATTAAATAAGAGCGCATTACTAAGTATTTCTCTTACCAATAAAATTAAAGATATTGGTAACGAGTGCCTTAAAGATACTAATAATAATATTAAAATAAAAGCTTAACCACTTTTTAAACAAAATATTGAATTATTTTTATATTTTAATACCATAAATTTTTTATTTTCTTAACCATTAACCAATATCCTAAAAGACTAATTAACATTTTAAATTAGCTCACGGATGGACAATGATATTATAGTGTTCATAAGTTTTGTGCTGAAGAAAACCTCTGTATCAAACATTATTTCTCTTCATAAAAACGTTACTCATGTTTTTATATACTTTTCTTTACACTTGTTTTATGTAAAAAATGAATGAAGAGAACCTCACTTTCTTTTTTGCTTTTTATATAAAAAAGGTTTTGTTCAAAGGACAAAGAAATACAAATTCAAAATTAAAAATAACACTGCTGAAAATTTTAGGGGGTTGAAATTTCTATAAATTAACCTAAAGTAAAAAGTTTGAAAAGGACACCACAATTAATTTCTTCCCACGAAGACTTGTATGCATTTACTTGTTGTCACTTTCAAAGATTATATCCCCACACCCGAAATCCAAAGAAACACCATAATCGTAGAACGTGTATGGGTGACTTAATGTCCATATGGGGTATTTTTGTTTCTTTTTTGAGGGGTGGCTTATCATGTGGCCAAAGTGGAGCCAAAGTAGAAGTGCAACTTGACCAAACAAGTGGAACATAAAACCTTTTATCCATCCCTCTCTCTTCACTCTCATCAAAATCATGTTTGTATTTGGATGGAATTTTGCATAAAGAGGGATCAGATATGGAGGAAACTGTTCTTTCTTACCTATTCTCTTTTATCTTTAATTTGAGATTCTCTCTTAGAATGAATTGAAAGAAAGACGGAATGAAAGATATATAAACTAAAATGGACGAGTAAAAATGAAAAAAAAATTAAATAAAGAGCCTTGTGATGATATATTAATTTTTTATTAGATAGTTAAAGATAATAATCGATCTTTATGTAAATAAAATATTTTTCCCAAGATAGTTTTTAATCATGGTTTTTTTCCCTTTTAAGTTTCACTATTGTTTAGTATGTTTTTCTTAAAGAACAATACATGCCTTTTTTTAAAAAAAAAGATTTTAAAATATGAAGAAAAAAAAAACACATCTACTCTACTTCAATTTTAAAATATTTAAAATAATAACTATGAATTATAAGAATATGTATCATTTGCAGTTTTGACAGAAATAACAGTTTGTAGTCTAAATTTGTTTAAGCCAATTTTATTTCATTTAAATGAATTTGGTAAAAAGTAATTTTTGTTTAAGGTAAAAAAAATTGCTTAAGCAAATTTGATAAAAAAAATATAATTTTCATTTAAATTAAAATTATGAAAATTTTTAACACTTTATTTTTTTCTTTCTAAACTACAAAAAATTTAAATAATTTTTACTTTTCATCAATAGTTACCTATTACTAAAGATTTTTACATATATCATTTCACACAAATATTTTAAATATATTATTTAGTATATTACTTGTACTAAGCATTAATGAAGTAAAAATATTTAGAATTAAGCTAAATTATTAAGAATGTTAACAAAAAATACATGAAACGGTGACTTTGAGAAATTTGTTGAAATATAATTACAGTATTATATATTTTGAAGTTTTTATCATATAATCATAAAGTGTGAATACATAATCTTACATAAATATTTCTCAAAATTTCTATAATTTAAAGAAAAAGAAAAATAAAGTTTTAAAAAAAAATTCAATTTTGATTTAAGAAATTTTTTTACTTAAAATAATAACTTTTTTAAAATGTTTTTAACTTAAGCAAAAATTACTTTTTTTATTATAAAATTTATTTAAACGAAATTAGACTTCTCACTTAAAATATAAAAAATTCATATCCAAATTATTATTTCTCCTCGTTAAACACTTAAATTAATACATGTTTCTTAATAATTCCTTTCCTACATGCGTTATTAAATTGAAATCAACAAAATTAATCCCGTGACTTGCCTATATATTTTTGAAATATAGTACTCCTATATCTTAATTATTCACATGAACAAAAGAAGAAGAAGAAGATGCGGTCATCTTCCCAACTAGCACAGGGCACTCCATTCTCCTTTGCTCCAATTGTTCCATGGATTGAAACCATGTTCATTCCGAGGGAACCAATTTGGAAAATGTCGGAATAGTTGTGTACCAAAAGTTAACTGTTTGTCATTTTTCTCTGCAACAATCATATTTCATAATCATCAGTAGACCATTGTTCGAAAAGAAACCCCAAAAAAGAAAGGTACTTGATTTTACATTTTTAGTACGCTATGAGTGGTTTGGCTTTTTGTACACACAAAATGGCCACCATGTTTAGGAAGAAGATGACCATGTCATTGAGTAACTTAGAAAAAATCAATTATGTTTTATTCAGCAATTTAAGAGAAAAATAATAATTTGTATAAAATAATATGTATAATTCAACAATTATGTATAATTATATTTTCAATTAACAACATGTATAAAATAATATCAAGAATCCACTGTCCCAATTAGAAAATTCAACAAATTTGCACATATGATTTAAGATATCATCGGCTTCTATGAAAACTGTCAAAGTTCTAAGAATAAATATTGGGATGCAGGTGAAAAATAAGATGAAAAAATTAAACAATTTGTTATTGATTCAATTGAGGTGTGCTTTGGAAAAAAATAATATTATTGATTCACAATATTGTGACCTTTATATTTAAAAAATAGTTTGATAACAAATGCAATATAAAATTTTAAGATCTTTTATGTTGTTGATGACCAAAGAAAAGGCAAATAAAATATAGTAAAATCTTATTTTAGTTATGTTTATTATGACTCAAATTTAAAATTATGAATCAAATTACAATAATTTTCTACCAACAATTAATTCACATGTGAAATGATACGAAAATGTCAAATATGTTTTGGGTTGAAGTGTATCAAAAAATAAAAAATAAAAAATTATAAATAGGAGTATTTATTTTATGTTTATTTATTAAAATAATATGTAATATTTTAAATGCACGATGAGTTTAGATAGTTATGTGTGAAAGGAGAGTTTACAATTTAACTGGCTACAAATTATAAGCAAGAATGTTTGTAATTTTATTTAATAAAAATTTATAAATAATAAAATTGTTAAAAAATTGTGCATTAAATTTTAATTTAATTTAAGTAAATGCTTTCGGGAACAAATAATGTAGATGAGTTATGTGTGTTAATAAATTATAATTTAAAATATTTAATAAATATATTAAATGTTTCTCAATCTATATAATTGAATATTCGTTAAAAGGAATTGAAATTAAAATTGGGAAGTGTTTATATTCAATGGGTGGAGCAGCCGCACTCAAATAATAATAATCATAATAATCTCAACCAGCCCTTTATTCAATTTTTAGGTAATGTTTTCTTGCTTTAATATATTTGAATTCAAATAAGTTATTTTTTGTTTATGTGAATGCAAAAGTTAAGATAAGTATACGAAAAGGGAAGCAGAATTATAATTACAAGTCCCGAGTATTGATTTTATAATTACAAGTTTGTTTGTTTTCTTTTTAAAAAAATAAAAGTGAATAAAA